ATAAGAAGGAATAAGGAATAAAAGGAATACGAAATAAATAAATTAATAAAAATTGGAAAGGAAATGTAAAAGAGTGTCAATGAAAAGGTTTCACCGCAAAGGCAAGCAAGAAATATACGAGAATGTACATATGCTTGCCATTATAATAGTATTAAGTCATATTGAGCTCATTGGATTAAATTAAGTGAATCGCATTTGGATTAATCAATGGGTTTGAGATTGTAAACTTTGTCACTGACGATATTATTGCATTCATGAAGATAGTTTTGTGTCCACTTGATAGGTTAATTAAGGAATTTTTATACATTTAGTTTTCTTTACCTTTGATCCTTTAAAAATTCATTTTTCGACTTGACCATGATTTCAGGCGGCGTTTAATAGCTTCAGAGTATGAATTGTCACTATTAATTACTTAACTTACTATTTATTACAGACTTAGCGTTTGTAAAGTCAAAGCACGATTGAAATTGAAAATTTTGTTGACGTTAATTTTCGACGAAAAAAAGTGCGCCAAAATTTATTTGAATTTTACAAAATCGTTAAACATTTGAATTTTACAAAACCGTTTAAATTAATCTGAAATTTGTATTGATTAAATTCAGCTAGATTAAAATTACGATTGATTGATATTCAATGTTTAAACAATTTAAACACGAGAATTTACAGCTGTGATGATTGAAACCTTATGATTAAAGCGCAAAAATCAGGAAAAAAGATCAAACAATTCATTTCAAATTATAAATTACAGTTCATTTATACAAATTATTGTTAATTATCGTCTTAATCTATAGTCTTGTAGGAATTCCCAGAGACCTATATGATCTATTAAATAATAAGAAGTATGTGAATTAACAAAAACATAGATTATGCTTGTGAAAAACCTTCAAAATTCATGAATTGTTCCTAATATTTACAGTCATAGTCAACATACAGCTCATGAACATATCATTAATTCTTCATAGCACATTGACTTATAAGGCTTCGATAGATTTCTTTAAGCTAAATATCTCAAATATTTCAACAACTTTTCGTAAATCAATTTTAAATTCTCTGCATGTGCCTTTATTTTTATAGAAATAATAAAATATTCTAAATTAATGGGGAAAAAAACCTTTATTTCCACTATTTACAATTTCATAATGTAATTATGTTGGCGAATTGCATTCATTGATTCATTTATTGGCAGTAAAAAAAATACTGTAAAATACTTTTAATGCATTAAATGGCATGAACACAGAAATGCTTTAGCTGACACTTTGTCTTGAGAGCTTAAGCTGATGAAATATGAAAGATCACAAAATTTTAAGATGTAAAATTCGCCAAATTCTTCAAAGTAAGCAAAAACCTTTTAAAATTCATTCAATCAAAAAATGAAAATTGCAATTCGACAGCACACGAAAACTTTATGGCAATGAGATTAATGCTAGGGCGTGCCTGTTCCTCACACAATGCACTTGGCGGTTTTCTGAAGAAATAAAATAAAAACTTCACATAAAATCAAATTAATTAACTCGTAATTGCAGCAACATAATTGCCAGCGTGCTAGAAGGCACATGAACTTCAATTGTTTCTCATTAGTGCCTCCCTCTCTAGCAAACTCTGACAAATATCCATCAATTTATAAATGTTAAGAATATATTTTTGCCATTTTGCGGAAAGTCTGATGATATTTTGAGTAATTTATTACATAAATTGATATTTGCGCCTCATCATATGCAGTAAAGTAATTCTCGAGAACTCGACAGAAAGATCAAGTGTATCATGCCGCAATGAATGCAACCGAAACTGCCATTTAGCTTTTAAAGCTGATACGAATCAACTTGAGTCAAATAATAATAATAAATTTTATTCTATTGAAGATGAAATTGTAGCAAGATGTTTTTCATTCTCATCGATCCATAGCGTCACATAAGTAAGAATAAGGGAACATATGAACAGATACAGAACAGCAATTCAATTTAGAAGAGAATTTAAGTGATCATTAAAATATTGTTTTGTTTGAGAATTGAGCGCATTTGACTAAAATGATTGGACATTTCAAGAATACAGAAGATCAAGAATTTGACGGATGCACTTCCTGAATGTTTTTTTAATAATCTATGAATTTTGGAATTCAGACTTAAATTTAACAGATAAAAATTAAAATTTTTGAAATTGTATATTTCCTTAACCTGAGCTGAAGCCTAGAAATTTTGAATTAAAACTTAATGTTCATATTTTGATCAAGTAAGTGAAGAGTTTGGTAGCTTCATATTGGAATTTCAGGTTTTTCATTTAAACGACGAATTTTTAAGTCATGAGTAGCTTAACTCCTATCAAACCAGTTTTTCAACCAATAAACCTTTAAAAGTTATCAAAAATTGCTAAAATTTCCTTTTCAACATCCAAAATAATCGCGCTAAAATGAAAAAGATCCGCTTTTTAGATTAAGTGGATGAAAAAAAAATTCTCAGAATTTTGTTTTTATTATTTTAACTATAAGAGCAGAATTAAAAGCGACACTCGACACAGTCTGCGACCAATTAAAATTTTTAAGTGAGCACAAAAAAATTTTTCTTTGACTTTCAAAAATAAATATAATTTTTCTTTTGTGAATGTAAGCAGCATAAAAATGCGTTTTATAAAGTAATCCAATTAAATGAAATAATTTTTTTTGAGAAGATATAAAAAGCTTCTTGACGTTCTTATTTGTCGTACATCATCCGCAAAAATGAGTTTGTTAACCCTTCACGGTCACACTATAAACTCTTTCTTGTTCTTATAATTCTTTTTACATACACGCATGCACACATTTAGATCAGACAGAGATCTTAAGGCTATAGTGAGGAAGAAGAGCAAATGATGATGAATGAAAATTAATAATAAGAAGATGGAACGTACAGGAAGTGACAAATTAACCGCATCGAATGAAAATTATATTCAACTTTGCGAACCCGATCTTGAGTCATTTCCTTAAGATGACAATTCATGTGTGTACTCGAAACGCACCGACATGCAAAATGTGCGACATTAAAATACATTTTTAAACTTGACTGACTCTACTGATCTGACCTTTTTATATGTTTTGCTGTTAATGTCAGTTGCTTGGCTTTTATTTATTAAAATACCATATTGTGTTGCTTAATTTATCATAAGAGACCAAAAAAATTAGTGTCTCATTCGAGTTTATAGTTTTTTTTAAGTTGCTTGCTTAGCTACGCGTGTAGTTGTGTTGTGTTTCTATTTGTTAATTCACTTCCTTCTTTTGCGTTAATTTACTGAATGTGAATTTATTTCGTGGAAATACACTCGGAGAATTGATTTTTTTTCGGGGGGGTTTATAAATTTATAGGGGTCTAGCGTTTATTTGGAGGAAAACTTGGCAACAATGCAATATTTTTTTGGGTTTCAAAATTCAAACAAGGCCATGATAAATCTGACAACGCCGCAAATTGTCAAAAAATCCTTCATTTTTTTTTATCCTTCAAAAAAGAAGTCTGGCAACATTGCTTCAAAATATTAAACACATAGCTTATTAAATTTAAAATGATCAAATATTATTCCTCTTTGTTTAATCACATGTTCACGAGAGACAACTGGGCAATGAAAATATTAAAAGTATGCCATTTTAAAAATGTTTTTCCTTGAGTGCTGTTTTCATTAAATATGAAATAAAATAAAAACACGATCAATTGACATTTGTGCGCTAATTAGCTTTTATCGAAAGAAAAAAATTATTATAAGGCTCTATTCTATTTAATAATACGAAAAAAAAACATACTTTATGAAGGAACTGAGCACTTGTATTATGTCATTTTTTAGACGGAACACAAGAAGAAGAAACAGTTAAAATTATTAAGTTATTAATTATCAAATCTATATAAATAAAATAATTAATGATAATTTTTCAATATCGACTGCGCGAGTGAGAAAAGATCATCATCACGCATTCAGGAAGCAATCGAACCGTGTAAGGCTAAACTTCAAGTGCATTTAACTTCCATTATATATTTTTTTTTATTTATGACTCACTTTAAAACTCATACATTTTTACATTTTCATTCTGCATTTGTCAAAGTTCATTGGTCTCGATTGTCGTCATCGCATTGTGGATGTTTTCATTCTTGCTTCTTGATTGATATGGAAAATGTATTGAAAAGCTCTTATTTTACGATTTTTTAAGGTTTGATTTAGAATAAAGCTTTAAAATTTGAATCTGAAACTCTCAAAATTCAACAAAAACTCAAAATCATAAAAATTTCAAATTTTTCAATTTTATTAATTATTTTTTGAATACTCAAAAAAGTTCAGTAAGTTCAGCTAAGTCTGCTAAAGTTACTTTATTAAACAATCAATATTAATTGAACAAGTTTTGAAAAAATCATCGACAAATCTTGAAAAACCTTTAAAATCCTTTGAAGGATTTTGGATTCATCAGCAATGATCAGCTACACAAATGTGATCACAATCGCTCGTGTTAATTAAGAATTCATAAGAAGCAATGCTCGATGCAGCATAATTGAGGGATAAAAATGAAGAAAAATAAAAAATCATTAAACTCAATTGAAACGAACAGGAAAATGGCATTTTAGCTTGATGTCTCATACAGGCACCGCTCGATGGCCTTTAATTTAATCAAAATCAATTAATTCCAATTCCAAGTCATTACACACATCTCTCCTCGTCGTGAACTTTAAATTATTAATTTAAAGTTTTTTTGTAGACTCATGAAAAAAAGCGAAAGTTTTGTAGAGTTGAAAATGAATAAATTTTGTTTTTTTAAGGACACCATAGTATGGCCATATACAGCAGTTATGCTGCGATGTATATATATTTTTTTTTTGTGAATGATGAAGGAAGCAAAGCGAGAGAAGGAAGGAAAAAAAATCAATAGTTTCTGGGGTTTATATTTCATCCACACCGAACCAAAAAAGAATGAAAGAAATGTTGAACATTTTGTGTACGAAGAATAATCCACAGGACACAATCCACAAAAATGAAAATCCTTTGTGCCTACATACCTTTTTCTTGCTAATTCCATTTTTGAGGCTGTTTATTTTAGAGTTTTTTTGCTTGAATTTTTTTTATTTTTTATTTTTTTATTCTTCGTTCGGACTCAAACAAAAGTCAAACAATGAACCTTTTTTTTCTCCTTTTTCTTTTCACTGAAGTTTTTCCTTTTTTTATCTTATTATTTATTCTCTTTATTTAAATATAATTTTGTGATATTTTATACATTAAATTGCACTGAATTTAATATTTATTCATTTTATTTTTGTATTTTAATTCCATTTACACTTTATTTGCTGTAAACTTTAACGGATAAATTTTTTTATCCTTTAAGATTGGCTTTAAGAATAAATTTTTTTTATTTTTTTTGTATGTGCATATTTTATTATTTCTTTATATTATTTTCCTTTTTTTAAATTTCACACTGGCGCAGATTGAAAACGGGAGAGAGAGTTATACGCCCGTTTCCGGTAAATATATATAATTTTTTTTTTGGTTCAACAATACTAAAAAAGCAAATTGAGACAGAAATTCGATTTTTTTTTATTCCTTCTTTTTTCCTTTTTTTTTTTGCTGCGATACCGATTTTTGTGAAGAGATACGTCTATCTCCAACAACTGACGAAATAAGACTAAGTGCCGAATGCACGAAAAATACTAGTTGGAGAGAATTGTGAGAGAGGCGAGAGGATGAATTTGAGAGACGGAAAAAAATTGTTGACTGGAAGTGAGCGAGAATTCCAGTGAGAGATGTGCGGTGAGAAAATTTTTTATTTTTTTGAAGGGGAAATTTTATAATAAATTTTTCTGCTCCCTACCATGCCAAAAACATTGAGGACAGAAATTTTCCGATTGAAAATCTAAAATTTTCGTCGCAAAACATTTCAGAATGAAGCATAGCCTGCCTTCTTTGCTACCTGATGCGATCATTCTCTCATCTTTCTTTTTTGCTTTCATGATTCTCGACAGAATCATTAATTTTCTTATTTCTTTTCTTCATCGTCTTTTTTTTTACTCGAGACCAATTCCATCTGAACATGAAATTCTATACGATTATTGTGTTCAGATCATCTGCTTTGTTGAGTCTCTCTGAATTGGGATTTTTTTTTTTCATTTCTTTTTTTTATTTTTTATTCTCTACGTTCATATATTGTATTATTATTATTATTGCCATGAGATGAACAACACAACATAAAAAAAGTGCTCGGATGAAGGGCAGAAGGAAACTAACAATAATAAAGAGAGAGACTGATGAATTTTAAGGGCATAAAGGAATTGAGGAAACTACGTAGTAGAAAAAAATATTATATTGTGAGAATATTGTGTAAAATCTCACGTAGGTTTGGACTCTGAGCGCATTTATATGCTGTGATTTTAGGTGTTGATGTGGGTAAAGTTTTTAATTATCAATGAAATTTTTAATAAGTACCAGATGGTGATACTATTTTTATCAGAATTGTGCATATATGCTACATATTTTTTCGGAGAAATGTCGTAGCATGTGCTTTAAGTGATAAAAAAATGTTGGAAGTTGCAAATGAAACTTTAATAAAATTAAAATAGAATTGCAATTTTTAAAATCGATAAATTTGGTAGCTAAGCAATTAATGCAATGTTGAGAATTGTTCAAATCCTTTTCAAATTGAATGAACCCTTTATATAAAGGCCAGGACATATAATAGAATAGAATGTAATGTAGGGTTTTGCTTATAGCAAAAGCGGCACTGCAATCGAAGATCTGTTGTACCATCCCAAGTTTTCTATGCTAGAATTCCAATGTCCTTAATAAAGCCAATAATAAAGACCAGGACATGCCTCAACCTGTTTCAAATTTCCATTAATTTCTTGGGCATCGCAAAACAAAGCCTCATACTTTGCTCTTTAAAAATATTGATTATTATCTATGAACCAGTGAAGTCGAAGCTTGAAGTCGACTCAAATTTAACAAGATAAAATTTGATAACATCCAAATCGACTTCAAGTTCTATGGTTTTAGGTGTAGTTCTTTATCAGCATTCAAAACAGTTGAAAGGTTTTCTAAAATCCTTATCGTATTAATAACAAGGACATGCAAATCTAATCTTTACCAATACATGTAAATGAATGTTTTTATAGTTTAGTTGTATTCGATTTTTTAAAGCAATTAAACCTTAAATTAGATTTTATCGATTATTACTGACTTTGATACAAACGAACTATTTGATAGAACTACAATTCTGATATGCTAACATTTACCAAAATTATCAATGTCTTCTTATCTCATATCATGAGTAAACATGTGCAAATTGTTATTATAATTTCAATCAATATTGAATATAATCAAAATCAGTCATTTTTTAAATCATTCATTCCACTTACCTTAATATAAAGTCTTCTTTAAATCTCATTCGATAACTTGTGATATTAGAACAGATTGACAAACAGACAAAATGAGCTCTCTACCTTCACCAAAACTTTAAGTCCAAATGAATAAAAATGAAAAAGACTTAGACACACAAGAACCATGAAAATGCTCACAAGAATGCCAAACAACAATAATAACTAAAAAAGGTGATGTCTATAGAGAGCTCGGGGAGGAATTGGATCCAACAAAGTATCCCGGCTTTGCTTCATTTACGTACCTGCAACGAGAATAAGAAGAAAAGAAGAGAATGAAAAAAACATTAATTAAATAATAAAAACATTTTTCGGGGATCTTTTCAACTTAACAAAAAAATGAGAAAGAGAGGAACAGAAATGCATGTGATGTATACACAAAGTAATAATGATGATTGAGGATGAAGGATGAAGAGACATAGAGAAATACGAATCTTTACAGCGACCCTTAGAATCTCTCGCTCAAAGAACACATGTCGAAATTTGAAATGTTTTTTTTTTCTCCTGCTTTATTTTTGACAAATTTGACAACATGGTGTCTGACGATGCCACAGTGCATTGTTGCCAATGTTTATGCTTATGCGCATGCATTTATGTTGATACAAACTGAGATTGTTTCTAATGGCATGTTAAAATATGAAAGCTGAAGTGATTTGATTTTCATGAAATATTTTTGATTTAATTTTAATTTTTGTTTTTAACGATTTTTGGTTATTTGAAAATTCAGATTTAAAAAATGTGCTCATATCGCATTTGAAAATTAAAAATTCTCTCAAAAGAAACATCAATTTTCCAATGTTTTTGAAGATTCTTGATTTATAGACCGGAGCACAAAAGATTCTCACAAAATAAGCTAATATCGCATCTTTGCAAGCACATTACTCCCCAAATATCGATCGGCTGAATTATTTTTGAACATAATCTTCAATTTTAGCCCAAAGCACAAAAAATAAAATAACCTTAAAGGCATATGAAGATTTTTAAAATGGCAATAAAGTTAATTTTCATCCAAACAAGCAGCCGCAAAAAGTACAACAAAAAATCATGAAGGAAACCTTTTCTGTAGCTACAAAAAAATATAAACATCTTGGGAAAACTTTCTTCCTTTCAAAACGAAAGACTCGAATGAAAAGTTGAAGTTAATGGTATAAATCTGCTCCTTCAAGGACTTGTTCCCTCGTGCGGTACATATAAAAAGATGCATTGTCTGTGCATCATAATGTGAGTTCATATATGAAAAAACGTATTCGAATGAATTATGGTTCATGAATGCCATGCTCCCACATATGTATTCATAAAAAAGAGAAGTCTTTATGCGAATATTTTTTTTACTTCTCCTTCATTTATGCTCCACAGTCTGTGTTTTCTTTTCGCAGTATAATTCAATGCCTTTCTGCGAGTATAAATAAAGAGCATAATATACATTTACCCTTGAAAGTATTTCAAGTGAAATTATTTTTCATGAGAATTTCCTTTAACGATGATCCTAGAAAAATTTGAGGTTATGGTATTCATTGACTAATGCGAAAAATTTCCCACAATTAGCTTAGACAGTTTCCTACCTGCCAGAATTTTTAGATAAAATTTATTATCAAGGGTATGTGCATTGAATGGGTTTAAAAGCGTGTTTGCATACATGTTTGCATTTAACGAAGTCTTGAAACATATAATCCGGTGGTTGTTACTAAGAATGCCAGACTTGCTCTCGTGATGCAAAATATTTTCACACAAAAGCAGCAAATTTCCATTTTGTTCAGCAAAGAATAAAAATTAACATACAAATCTAATGTCTTTTTAATTCGATGTCGTTATCGGTGTCATTGCTATGACACTTGAGCAGAGTGCTAAATTTATGAGCAGAACAGCAACACAAGATCCTCGACAATCTAATTAAAATTTTTAATTGATGCTCTACAAAGCATCATAATCATCATCATCAACGTTGTCGTCATATTTCTAACGACCGTGCAATTGATAAAGTTTTTCCTTGATTGCAAGTTTTGTACTATTCAAGTACGAAGAAAATGGCACAAAAAGGAGTGAGAATGGGAAATATCGATTTTTTAGTGGCAGACGTGAAACTTTGAAAATTTTATGGACATGCTCAGCGAATCGTTGCAACAACTCCAAAGTTTTCAGAAAATATATAAAACTTTTTTTCCTTTTCCCCACTTTATTTCACATCCACTGTCTGTCTGATAATTTCCATTTTCAGTGCTGTTTTAGTGACTAAAGGTTGGCTTAAATTGCTTCAGTTTGGGTGATTTAAAAGTTTTACTGAGGGAAAGTTAAGTCAGTAAATTGTGAATCATAAGGACATAGGAAATAAATTGAACTATCTAAAGTTAAGGTAATCTTTTGAGATATAAATGAAATTGTAAATTTAACTGAATAAAATTAGTTTAATCAATGTTTTTTTAAAAAAATCGTAGTTTCAACCCCTTGAAATTTTAAAACTCAGTTTTAATTCATTTTTCGATTAAATTTTTGATTAATTTATCATTCAATCAGTTTTTGCTATTTTTTCTGTCAATCCTCGTTAAAATTCCCTGAAACACCAAAAGATAAATGCAATAAATTCTCCAAAAACTATTTGAGTTGAGAATTTTTTTTTGAAAGTAGTTATTTAAACCTAAATATTCAAATACAACTATTGAATACCCCCCACAGTATTACACAATGAACAATGAACTTTTCCTGATACCAACTTAATCATTTCTCAACGCTGAAAAGGCACTTTCATCATCAATTCAAGGTGATTCAT